AGGTAATTCAACAACTCATTCATGCCTGTGTCGAACACGAGGCGGTCTGGTCTTTTTGTTTTATTTATTTATTTATTTATTTATTTATTTATTATTATTATTAGTATTATTATTATTATTTATTAAAAATAATTTTCTTTCTTTTTCTTTACATAACTGAATCGGTCCGGATTCAGACCGTTCGACCCAGAATTCATCATTCATATATTTTTTTTTATATTTAAATTTTTCACGTTTCATAGACGAAACCTCAGTCTGGACGGTGTGGGAGTAGTCCGACCCGGTCCAGACTTTGAATGTATTAAAACATTTAAATCAACACAATAATTCATAGAAATAAAAATAATCATAAATATTCAAGTCACGCAAATCAATCAAAAATTTTACACACACATACATTCAAACTCCGAAGACAATAAAAATAAAATTCTCGAATCACATCCAAATTCACTCACCTGGATTATGCCAGTTGTTTTTTTTTTCTTTTTCGTGACGGTAGTTTTCCCCGGGTTGATTAAAATTCTTTCCCTTGCCTCCTCTGTTTCTTACTGCTCAAGAAACGCTGATAACCCACGGTAAGTTCTCCGTAAATCCTAGTTCTCAAAACCAGGCTCTAATACTACTTGTAGTGGGTCAGGCCTCAATTCCGTATAAACCCAAATCCTTTTCTTTGGCACACCAAAGCCCACTTCCTTTTATGATTGTGTCTTGTTCGAAACAAAGCTTACGATCGAGAAACTTCTGTCTCTTCCCTGCAACAACCACACCTTTGTGGTTTCCTACACAGATCCTCTGAATCTCGAACCTCCGGCCACTCCACCATGGTAAGTTTTATTACTATTCCCAGTTATACCTCATTGGTTTTCAATTGTACCTCACTGGTATTTTACTTATATCTCGTTGGTATTCAACTCATATCTCACAATAACTTCTTACCAAGTTAATCTGCAAAATATAAACATATCAATCACTTTTCCGAAGATTAATCATCTTCTTCGTGATCAATATTCCACAACAAAATCTTCTCTCCCGAAATAATATAACATTATAATTTAGACCAAACTATAATATATGATCATTTTCCAACCGAAAAATATCTACACATCGAGAAAAGATTTCTCGTTTGTTTTTCAACCAACAAGACACAAACAACACAAAGCATCCTGTTTATGTCCAAAATACCATGTTAGAGAAATCTCCGATATCGTCAACTTGTACCATTGAAATCCGATATCCACTGATCATAAAACACGATCAGTTTTTTATACACGGATTTAACAGAGACTTTGAGTATATTATTGCTTCATTATCAACATCAACCATTGAAGTCATAGAGCCCAAAATAACGCTTTTAGATTGTTGGAAAATAATCGAAAAAGAATATCGAAAACACTTACATACCCGATACGATATAAGTCTTCAACACCGTATCTTGTTATAATCTGGAATCTGGATATTACTTCGACCTGTAACACGTATGAACGGTAGAGAATCCGGATATGACTTCAAGGCGTGTAGTCACTTTCCTAAAAGCGTTATTCCATCCCTACCGGGTAAATGGGATTACAGGAATACATTTTTGAGATACAATGAAGTTTTAATGATTTCGGATTACCCTTCCGAGAATCATCATACCAAAACTTGTTTATGAAGATGAACACAACCCCTTTTGATTGAGTTTGCAAGAACCATCAAAAGAAACACTCAAAATCTCTCAAAGAATTAATCACCATCCGTTTTCCACTTATTCTGACGTTTTTAGTTTATAAACACTAAAAGACATCATCAAAAGTTACCAAATCTGGCAGTTTTCTGGCAGTTTTTAAGCGAAAACTCGCATCTTTTCGAGAAAACTAACTCAGAGTGAGTTACAACTGACTTTTGTCGAGTTACCACTGACGCACTAGTGGAGTGAGTTACAACTGACTAAGACCGAGGTACCCCTGACGCGTTTTATTTCCAAAACAAATACATGTTTTATTGATTCACATTATATCATTTACTAACACTTAACTCCTCCACCATATTCGTAATACATATAACTATGAATCTCTTGAGAGATTATTCCGATCAACCGTTTACTCTAAAATATCCAACACAACTCTCCCCACAAGAATTCACCCAAAATCCCTGATGCCCTTCTCCTTCCCGCCCTTGTTCCATTTGTAATAAAATAATCCCTAATAACCAGTTGGGCTGGTGTAATAGCTAACCTAATAAAACGTAACAGAAAGATGCCCACATCTAGCCATAGCTTCGACTCGTTCACATTTCTCCATCCTCTACCACCTCAACAATCCCTTGTTTCGCCCAAGCTTGTCCCTCACGAATACTTTTTAGAGGCTTACCAAGCTGACGGATGAATGCGAGAGTAACCGAGTGCATGCGGCATTGCTGACGAACGTGTACATGAGAACACACACGGATTGTTTGGATGCTGAAAACGGTTGGCGGACAATTTTCTATGGTTCGAGGCAATTGACAGTTTCCTTGGGTTTCTCAAGCGAGCAGTTATAATTCTCTTGACGGTTGGATATGTCAACCTCCATCTTCTTCTGTGTACTTATTGAATTCCGCAAAACTGAGTGTTGGTTTGAATAGCCAAGATCCGTTCATTAACAAGAAAATCGAATGCGTGAAAAAGAGGTCTAACAAAGAGGAGTTGGCATCTAATCTCTGTTTAAATACATTATTATACAGTACAGTATATACTCTATTGTAAAACAAAAATAATGAAACTATTCCATTTGAGAAAAACTGTAATCATCTGATTTCTTGATGGCTGGTGATTGTCACAATGTTGGACTGCTCATCAACTTTCCTCAGCAGAAGCATCAGGAGTGGAACCCTTGAGAGAGTTCTACGTGATCCCACCATTATCAATTTTTTCTGTCCAAATCGAAAGGTTATATCCACAGAATTTCAATCAATCACAGAGCAATATGTTCTCTGAAAGAAAGGAAGAAGAGAAAATATCAGAGCACCTTGGCACGTGTCAAAGCGACGTTGATCCTGTGCCAATCTCCGAGCAGCGAAGAGGCAGAGGAACTCGGTTTCTGGCTTGACCTCACAAAGGACACCATTATGCAATCTTTATCTCTTCCCTGACCAAATAGATAAAAAATATACCGGGATAATGAAGGTTTTACAGAAAAAGAAAATAACATGACACTTTGTAGTTTGCATAAGAACAAAACCTGGTATTTGTCAATGGTATGTATCTCCACGGAAGTCGTGGGAATAGCTTGTTGAATGAGGGATGCTTGTGAGTTATAAGGAGTAATGATTCCGATTTCGTTCTCACTAACTCCGTTGCTCACTAGCTCTTCTGCAATCTGATACAAATGCTTACTCAAGTAAATCAAGTTTTTTTTTCTTAGTTTCAACACAATGCTTCATACTCTACGCCTACGGGATAACTGTACCTTAGCTATTAATGAAGCTTCGACTGGATTGTAAATGGCATTGTGATCCCTTGCCTCAAAAGCCGGCAACGTATCTACATAAATGAATAACGACTGCATGAAGAAAATCCGGCTCATATAATATGGAAGGTCCAAACAAAGACAAAACAACAGATAGATGTGAAGAACCTGTATTCACAAATACCACTGTTCTTCTCGGTTCTAGAACCTATTAACAAAGACACGAATTATTAAGGAGTTAATTAGGATTGATAAGTTATAAAACAAGGATTATAGCTTAGCAACAGAAAACCAATTTGAAGCAAACTTTGGAGCCACAAAGGTTTCTGTAGTGTAGGTTGCACACGTTGAGTTTATAAATCTTTTTAAGAGAGAGTTACTAACATCACCTAATGGTATCACCGCAAATCATCCAGAGTATTAACGAAAAGAACCAGATATTATAGGGCTTTGAAGGGGTCCCAAGTTTTAAAATGTTTAGAAACATACGCTGACCTCTTTAAGCCATGATGGACAAAATTTGGAAGTAGAAAGCTCAAGTTTCGCGTTAGCTACTTCAGAGGAACCGCAACATAGTCTGTCACCATATATCAAGGCATTTGATAGCTCCATGATACCTTGACTCATCCGATACTGCCCAAGATGTCTCAGTAAAAGCAGAATATTATAATGAAATTACAAGGATAACTGCTAGATTCAATCATGCTATTTAGGGAGAACCTGGCTATGTAAAACTGAAATTGCCTGAGGATGTGCCTCTGATAGTCTACGGAACAAGCTTATTCCCATCCCATTTTCTCTAGCCTCTGCACTCTGATTTCAGTACCACAATAATGACGTTGAAGCTATTCCAAAAGCAAATAGATAAAGATGAGATATTAAATGCTTACTTGTACTAGCGGTGGAAGTTGATAGTGATCTCCAACAAGAACAAACTTAGATGCAAACATCAAGGGTCCTAGAGAAACCTGAAATGTACAAGAAACCATGCATTATTTTCGACATTGTTCAGCACCAAACTCAGTTGAAACATGTCAGATCCTTCTTTCAGATTTTTCTTTAATGATTTAAAAGGAATTGCATAGAGAGCTATTTAAGTGTGAATTTTCTTCATTTGAGGGTCGATTCTTTTCATGCTCAGCCTTACTAGATCTGTTTACTTTTTCAACTGCATTAAGCAAAAGAGAAATGTGCTATCTATTTCTGTTCTGCAAAAGCATAAGGTAATATCCCAGTTGCCTTCACAAGAGTTGCATTAGTACTCAGGCTATATTTTGCAAGCAAGTGAAATTACGAGTCGCATTATTACTTATTTAATATTCTGCAGAGCATGTGAAATTGAGAAGACGTACTGGAAGTGCAATCTGTCCAGCTTCATCGACTATGCATACATCAAATTGCTTGTTCACAAGCAAGGGACTGTTGATCCCCAAACAAGTGGTGGCCACGACTTGTACTTGGTCCAACTTTGTTCTGACGTCGTCAACACTACACATTTCCATACCTGCCACAAAGAGAAGTCTCAAGTGCGTCAAGAGACAAGTAATTTATTGAGATGAAAGTTTGAAGAATGCACCAAAAACCTGAAAAGCGGCTATCCCGAACTTCTTTGTGTATAGCATCATGTCTTCCAATGCGTAAAAAGTCAATTCCCTGCATATACATTCAAATGAATATCCGTCAATTGTATCTGAGAATTTTTTAGATCTAGAGAGTGACATTACTTTTATTTACAATTCATTCTCAAGAAGTGCAAAAATATTTCTCCTAGACTTTACCATATATATACCTCTCTATTCTCTGTACAAGCCTAGCTTCTAATTTACAGAAAACCCACCCACAGTTGATTATGAGTTATAATTTACGGAACAAAGAAGAGAAATGTGATATCGAGTACTCAGGAAATAAGCAGGCCATGGAACAAAAGATATGCAAAAAGGTTGATATCACATAATAGATGAAAAATGCCTCAAGAATAAATTACCTGTGCTTTTAATTTGATAAGTAAATTATCAACAGCAGAGTTTGTGTATGATGCAAGGAGAATCGATGAACCTCTAACTAACAAAGCTTTCACTGCCTGGACCATGGTAGAGGTTTTGCCTGTTCCAGGCATTCCTAAGATCAAAGCATAGTCCTTTGCAGATAGTATCTGAAAAATACACGGGAAGGGTTTTTACGAGCATTCTCAGAGAACTGAACACTAACATGTCGTCAGGCATGGCTCTGGCACCATATATTAAAAAAGAGATAAATCAAAATGATGCCTAAAATGACCTTAAGAATAGCTTGACGCTGATCATTATTCAAACTCTTTTCCGACCAGATATATGATATTGCTGGATCTTGGCTGAGTATAGATCCATTGTCAAATCTTGGAGGCTACAGGAGGGGTGAAAGAATTGAGCAAATGAAGAGGGTGAAGAAGGGTAAAAGAAACCAATAGCCACAGCTTATCATGCCATAATGAACAATGCATTCACCTCAAGGTCAACTATCATCTTCCTGAGACGAGCACTCTGTCCATTGTGTACAAAAAGCCGCAAGAGATTGGACCTTTGAGAACATAAATGGATATAGCAAGGAAACACCGTATCAATTTCCTGACACTGAGCCTATTTAGAAAAAAAATAAGCAAATAAAAAAGAACCATTAAAAATTACCTCATGACAGAAAATGAACTCATGATTTCATCCTTTTCAATTCGCCAAACCTCATGGCAGAGATCAGAAACCTCGGCAGAGGGGTTACTCCAAGGAAGACGTAATTGCTTAGAAAGAGAGACCTAAGGATTTACATAAGAATAGAAGAATCTAAAGCTGGTTAGACAATTTTAACCGGGAACATTAAGCTAATACCAAACAAACTTAACCAATCTAAAGACAAAGAAAAGATCCTTGGAGATGTACTTACAGATACATGAAATCTACTAATATCCATTACAGTCCCACTTGCAACAGCCAAATGGCGGACTTCAGAACTAAGAATCTGAAAGTGGAAGACAGTAGTTCACCAAACAATCCAGAAGATAACAAAAATAGAGAAAAAAACAAAACAAAAGTTGCAGAAGAAAGATAAGGATGATAAAGGAAAAAGGACGGTGTTATTGAGTGCAATCATCAGTGAACTTTAAAAATTGTAGTGCAAAATTTGGAATCGGAGCCTTAGAAGATTGTCTGTAAGCAAAACAGTGGTGCCAACATTCAGAAGAATATATTTGGATGTAACTAAGTCCTGTTGGTTTTCAAATTAGCCATGGAAAAAGTAATGATAAAAGTTAGAGATAAACTATACCACACGATCTCCTGCTCTAAATCTGCAATCTAGCTCATCTGCTTGGGGACTTCCGGTGCTCTTAGAATCTTCATTAGATATTCTTTCTTTAGTTTGTGATGAACTTTGATGCACAAAACGATAGATGAATCGATTTTCTTTGTGATAATTCAGATGCTGAAACCCATCCGGCACGTCAAGAACCATAGACGAAAGATAACTAGCTGAGTTGCTGCTCTTTGGACCATGTGAATTCACCTGGGAACAATGTAATTATAAGATCAGAAATGAAGATGGAGATGCAATTTTTACTCCTGTAATAACAGCTGGCAATCAAAGCTCACCTGCATCTCTCTAGCTTCCAAGTCGATTAATCTATCCCAGAGGCGAAGAAAATTGCAATGAACAGTTGAAAGATTAGATGTAAGCATGTCAAAGACATCACCCAGTCCGCTACTTTCTTTATTTCCACCATGCACCTGAGACAAGCAGAAAAGATGCAAGCTGAAGCTTCAACAAGATAAACAAGTGATGAAGATGAACCAACCCTCCCGGACATGGCTAACGAATGTAATTTGTTCTCCAGAAATTAAAGGCAGTGAGTCTGACTAACAAAGTTTGAATTCTACACGTTGCATGTAAAAAAGTGCAGAAAAAGAGGTCAACATGGAAACTTAAACTTTGTTTAGGAGGCTAGAGAAACAATACGACGCAAACCAGGGATCAGTTGCATACATATGTAACAAAGAAGAATTCGTTTGGAAACACTTAGATAATATCAGACTACAGATACACAACTTGCTTGGTATCTTCGTCCAACAAAATCAAATTTCAACCCCTACACAAGCTAAACCTATTCATAAAGTAATTATGCTTCAGAGTTCAACCTATATAAAAAGTAAAATTTGTGTTCTCTTCCTTACGGGAGTAAGAAAGTACCTTATGATAAATTGTGCATGAATCCAGATGACGACAACCTTGACACATGTTTAGATTCTAAAATCAAAATAGTAAGAAAAAGTCATACCATAATATTTCCGAAAAAAGTGTCTTTGATGACCATTAAGATTATACAACCCATACCCGCAACATTGGGGGAAATTGTTGTGTTTTTGATGCCTTGAGAATGTCATTTGCAAGTTCATTCCGGCGCATGATGAGTCCCACCAAATCGGATCGTTGAACAGCGATTCCCTTTACATTTGAGCGAGCACTCAAAGCTTAACAAAATGTCAATGCCAAAGAAAGGCACGCAAGATATTTACTTACATGTGTTTGATCTGCTTGCAGATAATACAGAAGTCCATTATCAATATGCTTCAGGTACCTGCAACAAAGAAAATGTAGGATAGCGTTGGCCAAAGAAAAATGCCAGCCCATTTTCAACAAGAAAAAGAAAACAGAAACAAATGTACTGCATAAGCACCTTTCCGACATAAGGAGTGTGTACAAAATCACCTGGGCACAGTGTTCCATTGACGACTACAAATGACAAGAAAGATCAGGTTCTCAGTCTTAGTAAGGCTTTAGAGATTTGAAATTTAACAGCATATCTACATAGAATTCCAGACAGACCTGACCAGCATGAACTTTCCCAGTTTTGAACTCGAGGGGCATTATTTTCTCATTCATTGTGTTCATATCTGATTCAACCAACACTCGGACTGAAGCATCAATCATTCCTTTCAGACCATATTTTGGAGCCCATGCCATCTCCTCAATATCAACTACCTGATGTAAAAAAAAACTGCTTATAGATATGATAGGACTATCACTAAAGCAAATTGTTAATAGCGACGGCACTTTCCACAGAACTTGGGCTTGTAAAATAATCGAACTAGTTCAAACAGGATGAAATTACTAGAAACAAGAAAGTCAAAACTTCGGAAACTTCATACCATTGCGAAACTTAAAAAGTTCTGTGGTAAATTAAAAGAAAACAAAATTTCTTAGAAATCAATTAAGAGTAAAAAACAGGCTCTCACCTCTGATATTTTAAGCCTTGACTGCCCATTGGTAGAACCAAAATCAACACTTGATCCCCTTGAGTCCTGCTAAAAAACGTTATGTCATGAGCTTAAGATGTTCCATCACTATAGTTATTAGAAAATCATGAATTGGGGAGAGAGAAGAATATATTAATACTGAACTTTTCGAACTGGCATATGAAGAAATTACAAACCTATAACAAGACAACCATAACAATTTCCAAAGAACAACCAAGCCGAAGAATGGTCAAAGACAGTTTTTGTTCATCCAAGAAGACAAATACTAGCATAGTTATCCACCCGGGAAACATAAGTAGATTCACCTTTGAATATCTAAAAGTATGAATCCATTTCAACATTTTTGGAATAGCTTCGAACAAAGTTGCCTTCACATCTCTCTCATTTGCTGCAGACAACATAACATATGACAGGAAAGGAAACCATTAAACTGCAGTGAAGGAGTAAACCTTACTATAATCACACTTCAAAACCAAAAGACAAATAAAATTTGATGCTAAACGAAATCTTAAAAGCTAAGTGAACAGAGAGATACCTCAACTATACTGCCATAAAATTCGAATATGTTAATTACGTGAACTTTCAAACTATTGGAATAGATAGTGTAGTTACCTCCACATGCATACAAGCTCTCGATATTTTGCTTAATCACCATGCTTGCGTATTCCTCCAAAAAATCTACCGTCACGGACTCTTTCCTGAGACCTGCCTGGAAAACAAAAAGAAAGGGACACTATACATGAAGACCTTGATCTTGGAAAAAAAACAAGAGAGAAGAAAAAACAATTATACGCATTATCTGACTAATTTTGTTTCTTATCCGTGACCTGAAAAACTTGGTGCAGCAAGGTCCCAATCATGGCTGCCATGGAGTATTCATTGGATCTTAGCCGTTCATCAAGCACACTTCGCCTTGGGCAAGCGAAACTTGCAGCAACCTAAAAGGTAATTCATTCATTCACAAGAAAAAAACCAGCAAATATAATTTACATTTCTTAGTAAAGCTAATCTTGTTCAAGAGAGAATGATGATTAAAAATCAGAATTGGAAAAAGGTAAGAGGAAGAGCTACCTTAGTTCCAGCAATAAGAATATTAGGATGAACAATTACAAAGTTATTTTCATGGTCCACGTTACACTTCCCCTCCTCATCAAATTTACCAATTACATTGATAGAATCTCCTGGCGATACGGTGCTGTAAAACCTGATAAAGTAAAAACCTTTATGAGTTCAAGGAGCTAGATAGGCCTAGTTGAACAAGTTTCAACTAATGTGAAACTGAAATAGATGTCATTTGATTGCAAACTAGGAAATAAAGTAGACAGCTAGCTCAAACAAGAATAACTAGCATATTGTCAGCTCATGGCCCAAAAGAAAATGGCATTTCAGAAATAATATAATTTTGATCCAGACTGAAATATTAGAGAAATAAAGCATATTACATTCATCAAAGATGTTCCATGTGAGAGGAACCACCAGTATTTTACGTTTACAGCATGATCTAAACAGAGATAGAAACCACCTATTTTTTCCCATAGATACAAAAGCATTTACCATTCATCCCAGAGATACAAAGCTCGCTCTGCTGCAGTATTCTCGTTTAGCAGGCGAAGAACCTGAGAGGCACTTTTAAAGTCAATGCAATTCTGACATTGCACAGGCAAGGAATCCCTACACAAGTTTAAATAAGACTCAATTCACCTTATAATGACACTGACCACGATATGATCCAGCAGAGCCACGTTTCTCAGATACCTGAAGCACAATGAAAGACTATTAAAAACTGATGTAAGAACAAAATCGTTTCCTCAAAGACAATAGAGGCAATACTTACCTCTAATACAAGAAAATAGATATCAGCAAACATAGAAGTATGCTTTTTTAGTCGATTAGATTTCCCTCCATCTTGAGGGTGAACAACATCAGAAGAGACGTTCCTGTCTGTAACTTCTACTTGGGGCACATGGGACCCCTCGTCATCTATTGTTGTGCCATCAACAGAGATGACATCTTCAACTTGGTTTAAAATTTCTAGCAAGGCCTTCAAAAATAAGCAATAATTCAGCACTAGATGTACAGGCAATAATCAATGCAAGTTTAATCACCTACACTCGAAAGGCAATGCACATGTTGTGAAACATAGGAAATAGCAATGCCAAAGTTGTTGTCAGTATTCCGGATTGAGTCTCAAATGATACCTTTTTATGTTGACTGACATCCACAAGTTCAGATACCCTACTGCATGTAATGGTAGAAGGAACCTGAACCCAAAGCAGAGCAATATTATGTAACAAGAAAGAAAGGCAATTACTAATTTCGCAATCATTAAAGAAATTAACCTTGTTATGACAGCATGAGAGTGATGGTGGTGTTTGAAAAGGACTACTTCCATTAGCACAACGGTCACTTGTACTAACATGGTCATAATCCACATCTACAGAAGGTTTCACTCTGACAGCATGAGAGTGATGGTGGTGTTTGAAAAGGACTACTTCCATTAGCACAACGGTCACTTGTACTAACATGGTCATAATCCACATCTACAGAAGGTTTCGCTCTTTCCACAACAATGCTATTCACCAGGAACGATGATCTCTCAGAATCTTTCTTTGCTGGCGAAGAAAGCCATTGCTCAAGTTTGGAAGTTGTACCAGGGGTGGGATAAACTTTCTGCGCAAGATGCCGATCATTTATAATGGGAAAATAAAGCAGATGAAGAATGGGCAGTAAATGAAGAGAGAACTGGAAAAGTGCCTTGTCCAGGGAGCAATGACGAATGCCAGAAGAGTTAACCCTGGTGGGATTGTCTGACAATTCTGCCATCTTAGGAATTTGCTTAGCAGTTGCCCGAAGTTTTTCATTCATAGGAGAGATTTTCCAAGTTATCTCTTCATTTCCATCGTCCTGGCTTTGCATTATCAGCTATTAGAAAAGAATTGAACGCATTAAAATTCCAGAACAGATAAGGGACTAAAGCTACGAGATCCAATAAGGTAAATATGGAAACTAATTGAAAGAGGGATAGCAGAAGCAATCACCGTTCCAGGAGAGAATTTGAAATGTTTGAAGGTTTTTGAGACCTCAGGCGAGGACTCTTCCACATTATCAGCTTGCCGATCCAGCATGTCGGGAGGGTTTTGAGGCGCCAAAACTTCATTTCCAGAAGCAATACTGGAGCTAGGAGATGAGGATGTGGATTGGGAGTTTTGAAAATGACGAAGGAACAACTGCTGGATGCCGAACTTTGAAGGTTGCGACGAATGATCAGCTGAAGAAACTTTGCTTGATTTCGAGGCCAAAGACTTTAACTTTTTTCTTGGTGGCATTTCCAGTCGCGGTCTGCAACACCCGGCCTAAAGAAATATATAGACATCATGAAAAGATTTTAAAACAAAAATCTGACATCAATGTCGAATAGACAAACCCAGAAGAATCTGAGAAACATTCTCGAAGGGAAGAAAACATGCAGAAAGTGGCGGCCTTAAACTACACTCCAACTCCAGGATTAATTGATTCGACTATGTCTTGGTCACTTTCCTATATCTATCCATATAATAGGTAAGCTACTCTCTAAACTAAAACCCATCAACTCCAGTATCGTTCCAACATCGGTCTTCCACCGTGCCCAGAATGAAAAGATCAAAGCGACATGTTCCGCAATGTCTTCCATAGACACTGCTCTGATTTCCAGAAACACCGAGTGAAATTGATCGAAACGTAGAACAATTGAGATAAGATACGATCGAAATTCCGAAAGTTCTTAGATGGAGTTTCGAATCCCAAATCGGGTTTGGGAGAATCGTCGCCGGAATTTGGTCGGCGAACACAAAACCCTCAGCGGGAGCGCGATGCCAAAGTGAAGGGAAGAAAGAGAAGAAGAGGACAATGGAGAACGGTAACTTACCGGCGATCTTCGGTTCTTCACAGCACGAGAAACGGCTGGGAAAAAGGCTGTAGGCGCGGTTTAGGGAAGTAGAAAAGTTGCAGGGAGAGGATTTTCCCGCCTAAATCAGTGCGTGTGAATTGTCAAAGAAGAGGGAAAATTTTTATTAAAAAAAAATAGATAAATTCGTCTCTGAGGACCAAAAAGCGAAAATGTTCGGGAAATAATGTATTTTTAAGTTTTTAACCAAAGTTTTCCTCTCTTCGTCCTCAGCGGACTCGCCGTCGCGACTCGTCCTCCACCATCTGCTACCACCGTATCAAGGAGAAGCATTATTATTTTCTGGCTTTATCTATCTGGTACAATGGCAGCTACAGGAGACACCTTTTCCCTTACATGTTTCTAGGGTACTCGTAGTCTGATGTACTTGTACTAGGTTTGTTGCAAGTGTAAATCATTTTTATTACCTTCTTTATTATTCTTTTACAAGTGTATATATACATTGCCAAGGGCATAATGAAAAGAACAAGGAGGAATTTTTCTGAATCTCTTTTCTGGAGTCTCTCGGTTTGTTATGGTATCAGAGCTCCATCAATAGCTCCGCTCTTGCTCTTTCTCCTATTCTTCATACCTTTCTTTTTCATCATGGCTGATTCCACCGCTTCCAACGCTTCCATTGATTCCGATCCTCCTCTTCCAAATATCCCAGCATCAACCCCTGTTTCCAATCCTGTTTCAGATCCCTACTCCAGCCCCTTATACCTCCATGTTGCCGATTCCTCCAACTTGCAGCTTGTACCTGAAAAACTGCAAGGCGAGGCAAACTACAACGTTTGGTCTCGTGCCTTTCTCAAGGCTTTGAACGCCAAAAACAAAATGGGTTTTGTCTTTGGCTCTGTTCCGAAGCCACCTCCTGATCATCCTGATGCTGGCCTATGGTCTCGCACCAATGACATGGTCTGTACCTGGCTTAACAACGCTGTGAGTACCGACATCGCTGGTCTCATCGTCTACCTTGACGATGCCCATCTCATCTGGAATGCCTTGGCAACTCGGTTCAAACAGCAGAACGTCTCCAAAGTTTACAATATCCAGCATCAGCTAGACACCCTGCATCAAGGTTCGTTAGATCTGAACTCATATTTTACCAAGCTTAACTCTCTATGGGAGGAACTGCGCAACTTCGAACCTTTTCCGGCTTGCACCTGTGGAGGATGCACTTGTGGTGGCTGCACTTGTGGAGGTTGTTCCTGTAACCTTCCGGATCAGTGGACTCAGCTGTTCGAACGCACAAACGTCGTGAAATTTCTCATGCGCCTCAATGACTCATACACTGCTGTTCGACGTCAGATTCTCATGCTCGACTCATTGCCTAATCTATCAAAGGCCTATAACTTGATCTCCCAGGAGGAACAGCAGCGACTCACCTTCGGCTCGCCGTCGGACCACGCAGCCTTCCAGATCTCTACCCCTTTCCGAGCGCCACCTCAGTTTCCTCCTCCATTACAAAACCCTAGACACAAGCCCAAACACTTTTCCCAAGCCCATGAGAAACCAAGGCCCGTTTGCACGCATTGTGGGATGTTGGGCCATACAGTCTCTCGTTGTTATTATCTACATGGGTTTCCACAAGGATACAAGTCCCCTGCTCCCCTTTTACCTACTCCGCGACATTTGCCCAAATTCTCTCCTCACAATCGAAACCCTAGCTCTGATTACTCTCAAAAATCAGTGAATATGGTGAGATCTGGAAGCACCAACCCTTCGATGAGCTCCTCTGAAGCTGTTGACATGAGGACTCAGCTGGCGCAGGCTAAGGAACTGTTGGCTCAGTACACCTCACAGTTGAAGCACCATGGCTCTTCTCCTTCGGATTCAGGTTTCGCTACTGCTCTTTCCTCCTCTCCTCCACCCTCACCAGGTATTACATCAACCTTTCTTCTTTCTGCATTACAACCTACCCTTTTATATTCCCTTGTCATATGGATTTTAGATAGTGGGGCGAGTACTCATATCTGCTGTGATCGAACATTATTCTCTGATATTCATGTTGTTCCACCGATCTCTATCTCCTTACCGACTGGTGACACGATCACTGTTTCGGAATCCGGTTCAGTTCTACTTTTCCCAAACTTAACCCTTACTTCTGTTCTGTATATCCCTACTTTCAAATATAACTTATTGAGTGTCAGCTCCCTCACTAAAAACACCTCTCTATCTGTATCCTTTAATGATACTTCTTATGTCATTCAGGACCATTCTCTGGCCTCGACAATTGGCACGGGTAAACTGGTGCAAAACCTCTATGTTTTGGAAATCCCGAAGCCATCTTTTGTTTCCAATCGTCTGTCCTCTCCTCTAAGCACAGCTTTTGCGGCTTCGTCTGTCGATCTTTGGCATTTTCGTATGGGTCATCCCTCCAACTTGAAGATTAAAGCATTAGGGTGTTCTGATATTAGCTTTACTAAGACTTCTGTTTCACAACATTGTACTGTTTGCCCTTTGGCAAAACAGAAAACTTTACCATTTCCTACATCTACTCATATAGATAAGTCCCTTTTGAACTTGTTCATGTCGATATCTGGGGTCCTTTTCATGAACCCACTATTGATGGTTTTAAATATTTTTTAACTCTAGTTGATAATTTTAGTCGCGTAACATGGATTTATTTGCTTCATTGCAAATCTGAAGTCTCCTCCAAGTTTTCAGCCTTTTATCAAATGGTTAAAACACAATATAATCAGAAAATTAAATCCATTCGAAGTGATAATGCCCCAGAACTCAATTTTTCCGGTTTTCTCACAACACAAGGTATTTTCCACTATAAATCTTGCCCATATACCCCACAACAAAACTCTGTAGTTGAGAGGAAACACCAACATCTTTTGAATGTGGCACGAGCCTTATATTTTCAATCTAAAGTGCCCATATGTTATTGGGGTGACTGTATTTTGACAGCAGTTTACTTAGTAAACAGAACACCTACATCAGCCCTGAATAATAAAACCCCTTTTGAGTGTTTACAAAATCAAAAACCTGATTATTCTCATCTTCGAGTCTTCGGATGCCTATGTTATGTTTCCACATATTCCAAAGATCGACATAAATTTAGCCCTCGAGCTGTGCCTTCTGTTTTTCTTGGCTACCCTGCTGGTTTCAAAGGTTATAAGGTGTTAAACCTTGAAACTCAAACCATTTCTATTTCTAGAAATGTCATTTTTCATGAAACAGTTTTTCCCTTCCACAATGAAACCACTTCTGCCTGTTATCCAGACATCTTTATTCAACAGCCATCACCATACTACTTATATGATGACTCATCCTCTTCTCCTATTCCTTCTCAACCTTCTTCTTCACATTCTCCTAACTCTTCAGATTCTGTCGACATTCCTCCTATTCTTCATACCTTTCTTTTTCATCATGGCTGATTCCACCGCTTCCTTCTCTTCCTTACGGGAGTAGATCGGAAG